AAACGAGGACGCACAACAATTTTGCCACGCAAGCGTCAAAAGAAAAAAGTAAGAAAATGCGCTAACCCGAGTAGAGGCCTCAATTTATTGCAACCCGGTTAGGAGCCTTGGTTTAGTGTTATTGACGCTAGTGTTTTCATTTTTTGTAGGTAGTGTCATTTCCACGAATAGACGGCTCATACAAGTGTTCTGTTCCCCCTCTCAGTTACTCCATCAGTGCCGACTGCACATGGCGCTAATCAGCTTGTCTTAAAATATCACCTCAAAATAACCGGAAGTAAGCTAATAACAATCCTTCAATAAACTAGGCACTATATGTTAGTTAACACTCCAAACTGTCAGGCCCGGTCGCACAAGGTGATAATGATTAAAATCCTAGAACTAGTAAAACTCTCATATAGTTATTAATGGCACATATGTGTTGTTTTTTTTACACGAATTCAAAATTGTTAAGAGCAAATCGACAACTTGGATTGTTACGGTAGGGTTTAGTTATACCCTTGAGTGTTACGGGGTTTAACTAATTATTTTTATACCCGTGTATGGTTTTGGTTATATGAAAATGGTGTGGGGTGTTTCCAATATTTATTTAGGTATGTCATACACCCACGCTCGATTATGGTTCAGAAGTTAAGTAGGTGAATATGGTTCTGAGCCCCCAGTCAGCAATGCCGACAGTTAAATACAAAAGTACTAAAGGGTGAAATTAAACAGTTAAATACAAAAGTACAAAGTGGTGAATTAAATAAAACAATTTAATTAATAATAAAACTTCAACACCCGAGCTTCCCAATCGCTCGACCCTTTTGTGCCTATTTCATCATCTGAATCAGTGTGAGAATTTCGCCCTGTCCTAGGTTCTACTCATCTGTCTCTCTAAATTTCTCCTGCACTCCTCCTTTATTCCTTTGAATTTCCTCTCCACCTCCTCTCCTCTTTTCCGTCGACTTCCTCGTCGAACCGTCGACTCCAATCCGTCGACCCTGACTGTATCGACAGTCTTACTTCAGTCTTCTTTCTTAGACTCTCGGGACTCTCCTTCTAACTGAAGTTGTCCCACCCGGAAAGCTTCCTGTAAAACACAATGAGGGTGTACTATTTTGCTTGGCATATACACTCACACTACCCGCATAACTTATCATCAGAAAAGGCTATCAAATTTCATGGGTCACGCATCCATTCCCACCGAAATACTCACACATTCATGAATGGTAAATACAATGTAAAATCATAACATAATAACACACCATAAAGCACGATATCAATTACTCGTATACAGGCAACGATAATTGATTCACATTAGTACATAATAACCAACACATCTATTTTGCATCACAAATCATACAAATATATAAATATGCAACTATCTATGCTCTGAACATATTCAAACATACATTCATAATCTTGCTTACATCAATCATTTCCTAACTCCAATACAAATCTCAAATAAGTACACAAATGAAACTCTACAAAGTAATTCTTTATTCTAACAATACTACTAGTAATTGCGTAAACATAATATTAGTACTTACAGTTACGGCGTTGCAATGTGTGAGTCAAAAATCAAACGAATATCTACCTTCTTGAAGCTTTCTTTTTGTTCACAATCTTTTTCCTGCGATTCACGCCAAATTTACGAGTGCGTATCTCGGAGTAGCCTTAATCGTGCAATCACCTAGTAATCTGCCTAGGTCTACTAAATAATTCTGGGATGGAGTCAGTTTAATATCATCAAAACTTAGTGGTATACCCACCCACTAGCTTAATTCTGATTGGATGCGGTGGACTAACCATTCCCAAGTTGTTAATCAGCGGAACTGTCTATATAAGTTGCCTACCATTTTATTACAAATGACTCTTTTGATCTCCTACTAAAGGAGATGCCCTGTTCTGCACAAAGAACCTTTTGGCGACTACGTCTCACTTGGCTTCTTGCTCGCGGCGTTTGTCCACAGATCAAACACCGGATTAGTGTCAGTTAAATAAACATCCGTCCACCTAGGTAGACCGTGACATGGATCTCCGGAGTCTTTCACCGCAGCGCCTGCACCTTTTCCTGCCCTTGCAACAATTAGACATAAAACCCAAGCATGCGGTTCATGCAGAAAAAAAAAACATCGAGTGATGGCTCCAGTTTCCCGCTCGATGAGTAAATAATTATTGGGTGCTCAATTTTAAATCCCCCAAATGAGTGCTCATACACTCAGATTAAGAGTAAAATCTTGTTGGATGGTGGCTCCTTTTCCATTACTCAAGTTGACGTACATTGTCGAATGGCCGCATACATCAAAAAGTTAAGATCATCACCACTACCACTCTCTTTCAAATTTAGAATAGTCGGAGATCCGTTGGTTATTTGAGGGTACGATTTGTATGCTCATAATATGTGATCATAGATAGTAGTATTGAATACTTGTTCTGTTTTGTCTCGCGACGGTTTGGCTAGACATTCCTAGCCGGAATCCCTAGAACTATATTATGGGGCTTCTTCCTCCCTTCACATGCACAGGCAGTGAAGTTTCAAGTTATTCTACTTGTCCCATTAGAACCATGGGTGGACTTAATTCTTTGCTGTCATTGGGAATAAGAAGCACATTGCCATAGGTTATATTGAACCAGAATTGTAAACATATTCTAGTATTTTGCTACTTGTCCATTCGAAATAATCTCCCTTGCAATTGCTCCTCTCCAGCAAGAACACGTTCATTACTTGTTCTCGATCGTTTCTGTTGGCGAATAACAAATTGACAGAGCGATTTTCTCCCTCTGCCTTTATATGGATCTAAAAGTTTATATGTGGTTTCTATGTGGTTTTTTTATATGCTGCATCTGCTGTCGTCATCGTAGCTTCTTTAGATTTATTGTGAAATGAAGTAATGTTGGTTAGAAAGTTGTTCTTGTTATTATGGGTGTAACTCCATTTTTCACCACTTGATAGGATATACATGGAGGCCAGTTTATTTGGTGGAGGAAGAAATTATTGTAGCAAGAACCCAGGAGAGAGCCTGGAAAAACATCAACCCACGGGAAAACACTGGAAGCTGACTCATATACCCACATTGGCCGAGCTCGAGACTCGAACCCACATGAACAATAGGTGATACCAGTAATCTGTGAAAGCAAGTTCCTTACTCGGCCATCCGGGGCCCAGATTAGTAAGTGAATAATATTTTTGTGACTATGTGCAATTGAATTGGTACTTTTATCTAAGATTTATATTTTATAAATATTGAATAGTAAACATTTAAGTTACATTATTTTTTTTTCTGAAGGAGCGGCTGAACGAAATCCCAAATATTACCAAATTGTACCATTCACCCAATAATCAACGAAGATGAAACACTTCAGTAATGCACTTTGAGACATAGAGAACAATTAAAAAGGAAAAAAAAAACGTACTGCAGAGCAGTTGCGTTGCAAATAGTTTACGGTATCCCGCCCAACCCGCCCCGCAAAACAATTCGGTAACAAAAAAGTTGTTCTATTGGAATTTTGCGATTCTTCGTTGGAATGTCAATGAAACAGAGAAATGAAATATATGCAGAGAGTGTTGTTGTAGAGTTTATCGCCATTTTTCAGCACAAGAGACGCTATACATGGTGGCCGGTATAAATGGTGGAGGAAAAACCCGGGAAACCCACGGAAAGAACCACCGACCCACTAGAAGCTACTGGCAAGCTTACTCACATACCCACATTTTTGTGGCACGCCAAATTGTTCGCAATGGACGAGCTGAAGTACTCGTAAGGTGAGCTTGGGGAGAACGTTGGATGAGATGAAGTAATTGTAGGGTGAGCTGGAGCAATCGTAGAGTGTGTTGGAGTAATCGTAGAGTGAGCTGGAATAATCGTAGGGCGAGCGGTAGAAAACGTTCACAATAGAAACGAATCTGTTTGGAGTTTAGATTATTACCCCTTTGTGACTTCCGGTTCTGCATTAATTGTGCTTCGTAACTGCTTGGAAAGAACCTGTTTCCTTCAATGAATAATTATGGAGAGAAATGAAATTGACGACTTCTTAATATATATCGATCCTTGTCTGCAAAATATTAATAGATTTTATTTCTCACAATATTTGTTAGGAATCGAATACCAGATTAGAAAACCGGAGGACTAATTCGTCAACTTGCTGCAAAAAAGAAAGAAGTGTCACACATTTCTCGTGAACATGACTATTCCTTCCGCGGGATGCTTTCAGGTCTGTAAAATCTGCAAGATAAGGAATCGTTTTCATATGAATGCCCATTTAAGGAGAGAACTCGACCTGGTCGACTACATTATACTCTTTCCTTCTATCAAATAAAATCATACCCTAAAACTGACATGACAGGGATAGAATTACACCATGTCTGTCAATTATTATCTTATATAGAAGAACGACAGAACCGAATATACTGGACACATTTTCGAACATAAATGAATGTGACCTTGACAGTAAAGTTCGTGATATATTGTATAGTACGCCTAAGGTTCGCGAATCCTATATTTAAGGGAAATTTCTCTGGCGAACCCTGAGAATTATGAACTGTATAAAAATAAGATTATATATTGTGAAAAGAGTCAAATTATTTATGGCATGTTGACACTAACCACAAACGGATATACCGGGGTATCATTTTTCACGGAAGAGCGGATGGCGACAAACGCACGATTACAAATATTCATGTAACTACAGGTAACAAGTCATACACTGCATTTAAAAATTCTAAATCTGTATGGTCTACCGCATCGCATGAGAGTCAACAGGGGTAGAGGAAACAGAAAATGTAAAATTTACGATAATGAGTCGTGGAGGCAACAAAGGAGGCTTTATTGCTGGTCGCAGTTTTCACAATTAGTCACATCACTAAGTTGTCTGTAGTGTGACAGTTTATAGTGATGTCTATCATGAACACAGTCACATTATACTAACACCAGGCCGTCCAGTTCTAACACTAACCTCTTAATGATGAGCGTCAAAGTATGTAGCTTCAAGTACCATTTTCATGCAAGTCTTTGCTATGAATCAGCCGGGGTTCGAACCCAAGACCATCTGCATTGGAGGCTGACACTCTAACCACGTAGGTTACCGAAGCGGCATGTTGGCGAAGTCTTCAATTGTAGAATAAAATTGATGAACAAAATACTTTTTCTTTAATGTCTTTGGGCCCAATCCACATCTATGTAATTATGTTATTGATCATTGGGAGGAAGTGTATGTATGTATGTATGTATGTATGTATGTATGTATGTATGTATGTATGTATGTATGTATGTATGTATGTATGTATGTATGTATGTATGTATGTATGTATGTATGTATGTATGTATGTATGTATGTATGTATGTATGCATGCATGCATGTATGTATGTATGTCATTGATCATTGGGAGTAAGGCTAAAGTTATTCTCTTCTAAGCAAGTCAGTTATAATGGGGTTTTTAATCTGATTAAATCATAGTACATCCTATATGTATGGTTACCATCAGAACATTAAAGCTGTAATATAACACCCTCCTTCCTGCGCAAAAATTCAAAAAATTATTGACGGTCATTTCTGTGTCACCCGCTCTGATGGTGTCACCCGGTGCGGTCCGCCCCCGTTCCATCCGCTCTCCTCACCCCACCCCACTAATGACGCCACTGCTAATAAAGCCTTAAAACGATGGTGCAAATTGTTTAAATTTAATCTTTTGTGCTAACTCATCTAAGTAAAGTTTAGGAGAAAACTGGTGATAATAAATATCGTTAGCTTGCAGAAATGAAATTGATTTTTTGAGACTATCACTGGATACAATCCGACCTTAAAATGCTAAATAAATCCACTTCTTCCAAATTCCTATAAATTGAAAGCTGCGAACCCCTTTTGAAAATCCAGTTATATTTAAGGAGAGTGTATGCAAAAAAGCGAAAATGAGGAAGACGCACGGGCAGAATTATGGATGGTCACACGGTGTCTGGAAAAGGGTAGGATGGAATAAATGTCTCACTTTATTACATTCCGTTCTTTCACCGCATAAAGCAGGAAATAAAATGGCATGACATTAGTATTTGCGACTGAACCTTCAAAGTATATTTATTTCATTTTTTGTGGAAGAATATACCGCTGAATAGGTTGTGTAGACAAAAGAAATTCGAGTTAATGTTATATATGTTACATTTCCTTCATCAAGTGCCTGCCTGCCAAACTTTAACATTAGTGATAATTATTTTTCGTTGTTTACGATCTTAGAATTAATCTCTGCCTTTGTTAAGAAAAAACACAACAGCAATAACAACAACAACCCGTAAGAATACTCCCTGAAAAGCAAAACAATACAAACAACAACATTGATCTTTTCATTTAAATTAAGAATAATGCATATTTGGTAATGTTCATACATGTTAAACTGATTATTTCAGCTCTCCCTACGATTATTTCAGCTCGCCCTACGATTATTTCAGCTCGCCCTACGACTATTTCAGCTTGCCCTACGATTATTTCAGCTTTCCCTACGATTATTTCAGCTCGTCCTACGATTATTTCAGCTCGCCCTACGACGAATTCAGCTTGCCCTACGATTATTTCAACTTGCCCTACGATTATTTCATCTTGCCCTACGATTATTTCAGCTAGCCCTACGGTTATTTCAGCTCGAACTACAATTATTTCAGCTTGCCCTATGATTATTTCAGCTCGTCCTACGATTATTTCAGCTCGCCCTACGACTAATTCAGCTTTCCCTACGATTATTTCAGCTCGTCCTACGATTATTTCAGCTCGCCCTACGACTAATTCAGCTTGCCCTACGGTTATTTCAGCTCGCCCTACAATTATTTCAGCTTGCCCTATGATTATTTCAGCTTGCCCTACGATTATTTCAGCTCGCCCTACGATCTCTCCAAGCTCATGCTACGATTACTCCAGTCAGCCTACACTTACTTCAGCTCACCCTACGATGTCCCCATGCTCATCTTACAATTAATTCCGCTCGCCTTACGAGTACTTCAGCTCATCCTACGATTACTTTAGTTCACCATACGATCTCCCCAAGCTCACCATCAATTACTCCCGCTAGCCTCACGATTAATTAACCTCACGAGTGGTCGAGTGGTCTAAAGCGCTGACCGTTATTTATCACTGCCATCTCACCTCTGTCTGGGTGATTTCGAGTCTAGGATTCAGCAAATGTGGATATGTGAGAAAGCTTGCCAGTAGCTTCTCGTGGGTCGGTGGTTCTTAACTGTGATTTCTCGGTTTCTTCCTCCACCATTAATACTGGCCGCCATGAATAGCCTATCGTGTGCTGAAAAATGGCGTTAAACCCAACAACAACAACAACTTAACCTCACCATACGATCTTTTCAAACTCACTCTACGACTGTTCCAGCTCAAACTACGATTACTTCCGTCCACCTTGCCATCTCTCCAAGCCCATCATACGATTGTTCCAGCTCACCCTACGATTATTTCCGTTCACATTACGATCTCTCCAAGCTCACCCCACGATTACTCCAGCTCATCCATTTTTTTTAGCGATTTGGCGTGCCATAGATAAAGAAACATATATCTAACTAAAAAAAAAAAAACAACAAAACAAATAGAAACCTCGACAGCATTTATTTTCGAAGTCCTTTTTTTCATACAATTTATATTTTCTTATATTATAAAAAAAACCCTTAAGAACGGGTGAACAATGGCAAACATTAATTATTTCAAAACACGAAATTAATATTTAGAAACACAACGGACATGTACGTCTTAACTAGCAAGGGATGCTGGGACGTGGCTAAGAGGTGCCTATATAACTACCTAGCCTTACCCTCCAGCCTCTGGAATTGTATTACTATTTGGGATTATTTCCTTGCCGCAATTTTGGATTTTGAAATACCTAAAAAAGGGCTCTTTGTTTATTAATCCAGTGGATTGGAATTGCGCGTAGAACTTAGCAAAGACTTTTTTTTAATTTAGGTAAGTTTCTAACAAGAGTAGCCGAATCAAACATAGTAAATATGCAATCTATTCATTATCTTGAATCAGCAAAATAAAAAAGTTTATGTCAATTGTTTGAAAATCGCTCCCCCAACAGCCCACCCAACCCACTACGAAACTAAAGAACCGATACCGCATAACGTATGCATGGGCACCCGCAGCAAGGGTCAAGGGCTCGTACTCGTTACGTGACAAGGACTCGTACTCAGTAACAAAGAAATAGTGAAAGCCAACAAGCTTTGTATATTTTACCAAAATAATTTATTTCCCTAGACAACAATATAAAAATTGGTAAATAGGACTTACAGTTTATGGATATAATTCAAAATTTATCCTAGAATGAAAACACAAGTCCTATCACTAAATAGCCCTATTAAAATCCAGGTTAGAGTCCCGACGACGTACAAATATGGAAGACGATGACGCCATATGTGATCCAATGTACGAATATAAACAATTCCTCACTTGAATCACAGTCATTGTTTCCGAATAATTCCAGAATAAATTTCCATGAATATTTTTCAGAATTTTTTTTATATAAGAAAGGTCACATCGTTGAGTTTACAGGGGAATAAATTATTAAATCCAAAACTCAGATGAAGAACAAACTGGCAACAAAAAAAATACACCTTGTTCCTTCAAGATGTTAAAATGACTGCCCGAAGAATAATAAAAATGCGTATTTAAAACCCCCAAACAACATTTGAAGTCTCGCGAGATTGGTCATGTGGTCTCTTACTACATTAAATTGAGCACCTACACCAATTTGTCCCCATAAAAAAAGTTGTTTACACATAGTGATCACGAAAAGAAAGTATGCCCCTGATACTGACCAATCATTTTAACTTCCTTTTGACACTGTTACCAGCCCAAGACGATCTAAGGTAACTAAAAAGAATTCTCATGTAATACTTCTTCGTCTTAAATAAACAAACATTGTTAAAAGAAAATATCTCATTATGAAAAAGAATCCAGAACCCGACAAAAATATTCATTCCAGTAAAATTCAATGAAACAAAAATGAAATAAAAGGAACTGTAAAACTTACACGCAAGCAATTTAATCACACATACATACATACATACATACATACATACATACATACATACATACATACATACATACATACATACATACATACATACATACATACACACACACATATACATACATACATACATACATACATACATACATACATACATACATACATACATACATACATACATACATACATACATACATACATACATACATACATACATACATACATACATACATACATACATACATACATACATACATACATACATACATACATACATACATACATACATGCATACATCGTCTTAAATAAACAAACTTTGTTAAAATAAAATATCTCACTACTGAAAAAGAATCCCGAACCCGACAAAAATATTCATTGCAATAAAATACAATGAAACAAAAATGAAATAAAAGGAATTGTAAAACTTACACGCAATCAATTTAATCACATACATACATACATACATACATACATACATACATACATACATACATACATACATACATACATACATACATACATACATACATATACATATATATACATATACATATATATACATATACATATATATACATATACATATATACATACATACATACATACATACATACATACATACATACAGGTTAGAGAAATTAAATTCGTACTCTACGGAGTTTCGAACCCAGTCCTCGATATATGTATGTATGTATGTATGTATGTATGTATGTATGTATGTATGTATGTATGTATGTATGTATGTATGTATGTATGTATGTATGTATGTATGTATGTATGTATGTATGTATGTATGTATGTATTCCAAGTAGTTTTATCATGCAAATGGAGCTGAAAATATGCCACAAGAGTCTGTTCAAAAAGGCCTAATAAATATTAGCTATAGTTTCAGACTGCTTCTCATACTAACTGACTGTCTGCCCGCCCCCCCTCATCGAAAAACTCCTGGCCCCTCTGTAAAAAAAAAACATCTGACCCATCCCCCCTTGGAAAAAATCCTGCGGGCGCCCATAAATGTATGCATACTTGATATGTCAGTCCATGGCGGACTTTTAGCTAGATAAGCTGGTAAACCT